TTGGCTCGGAAAGAGTAGCTTACACCAAACCATTTAAACTCCTTTGCAGGTAAACTAACGCAAATATGGTTTTTGGCAAAACGAGGCTGTATGCTTTTGTATGCCACGTTAAATGGGTTCATAACTACGAAAGTTAGAAAGCTGAAATTTTAGGACTGTTGTCCTCCGCTCTTTAAGTACTAGTGGAGAGAACGTCAAGCATTTGTCCTCGTGGCTTAAAACTATGCTAACATATTTTCCGTGTGCGATATGCTATTTCAAAGGAGTCGTAGCTTGGGACAGCTAAAAGGCCGTTGTTGACGAGACAAAAAAAATTACGTTTGTTTTGTTGCATTCACCCACGCCGCAGCAGCTTATAGAGAAAGTATTACCAAAAAACTCGTAAAAAAACAAAAAAAAAAATGAAGCAAAAAAATTGCCTCATTCGAGTCCATTAGATGTTTTGGTATATCATGCATGGTCATGTATGCGAGAAATTTTATGATTCGAACACAGCGCGCACTGAGACGTTCCCTGAGAAAGCCACGTTTCTGAATAGCGATAACCACTGAGGATGCCAGTGTTCCGAGTGAGATTATGATAATCATAGCTAAGATAAACCAGCCTGAAATGGATGAACGCTTGGGCAGTTAAGTTGATAGTATGAAAGCCACAAGCGGAATGAATCTTCTTTACGGAAGTGTTATAGGAATTTTTGGGATATAAACAGTGATCCGTGACTAGAAAACTGAAAGAGGATGGAGGGCTTAAAATCATCCGTGTGTTTAACATGTGCAGTTGGTTTAACATTGCTAGCCCAGCGCGGCGAGAAACCGATAGTCGGATTTTGATAAACACTTAGAAGTAGCATTTAGATCTTGCACATAGGTAAGCTTGTATGTACTGTTATTTATCTGGTAGCCTGTCCGTGTTTTCATCCTCGGGCTGTGAGTACAGACAGCAGAATCGCCCCGAACTTTATCTGATCCAGACTTTCTGGTCGTAACCTAATCAGGAGTTTGTTTGCCTCGAAGAGAAATGCACTCAGTTCGAGGCTATAGCGCTACAAGCAACATACTAATTTAACGCCACTTTGAACTGAGCAGTATACTAGTTTCGAAATTCGACATTACTGCGTACACCCTTTCTATATCAAAAAAAAGCCTCTTTCAAATTGGAGTTTCGTCTTAGTGAGCTGAATCATTACGAATGCGACAGAACTCCTGTGGCTCTCAAATATTCTATTAAGCTCTCCTTTGGGGGATGATAACATTTTGCTAGGTGTTAGGCTTTGCTGATAAAATTTGATCAAGTCGGGCAGGAGATAAGTGTCTTTATGTTTATTATTGAAGATATACGTTTTGAAAAAAATAGTAACAAATAAGATGCTAGCCAATCAGCGGGATAAACGAGGAAGTTGTTGGCATCTGATCGGAGACCATCAGCATGAGAATGGACATCGACAGCAGCGTCGTGATGCCGAGCGAAACCTTCTCTTCTCGCATCCCACTTGCGGTTGATGTCCTGAAATTCACAGGATTAGCTAAATGACTGGGAGAGGGAAAGGGGAGGGGAGGGGGGAAGGGGAAGAGGGGGAGGGAAGGCGAGGGGGAGAAGCAATAAGATAAAAGAAACTCACGTAAAAAAACCGACAATAGCAATCAGTGTGATAATGCTGGTTGGGATGATCAGATTTATTATATAAAATAACGGTTTGCGTCGCAGATAGAGCGTAATCCATAATAAAGTGTACTTGTTCGGGCAGCACTCGTACTTCATCTCCTTCCTTTCCACTGCAAACACAGGTACTATTTTTGCTATTGATAAAGTAGTAAAAACTGTTTAATTCTGCTCTGCTGAAGTTTTTTTTGTGAAAATTTGATCTCACTGCTGACACTAAGCTGCTCAAAAATTATGCCATTACCCTTAGACATCCTGTAATTAAAAGGAACCTGAAGTCCTGAGAATATGCCAGCCCTCGTTTTCAATATAATTGGTTGTACCGACCGTATCTGAGTACGCGAAATAGTCGATTCCTTTCTGATCAAACGTCCAACTTGAAAATATCATTTTACATATCTGAAGAACAGCAGTCATTAACAGAGTGATTCTAGTAGTTGTTTAAAATAATTGTTTGTTTCTATAAAGAGAAGCCAGTGGCACACCTGGACATCAAACGGGAAGAAGCGTAGGTTGAGCAGGCACGAAAA